TCCAGGCAGGCCACCATCCCACTGGGAGGAGGAGGAGGAGGAGGCGGGAAGAAGAAGGGAAGAAAAAAATGAATCCCCACAAAAATGTCTTCATAACAGGAAACGTCTCATAAAATACCTGTGGTTTGGCATGTGTGATCCGACTGGTCAAACTATGCACCTGGCAGGGAACCCTGCTATTAATGCTGCGAGTCTGGTATTTCAGTGCAGTGGAGGCTGGTGGGAGGGAGAGCACTGGGGGGCTTGGGTGCAGAAACCCTCCACGGGGGCCGAGGCAAGAGGAGGACACATCCCTTGGGGATCCTGCTCTCCTCCATGGGGGATTTCCCAGCCTTATTTTGGTGAGGGGACTGCAGCACCCCAGGGATACTGTGAGCCAGCCTGAGCCTTGCCCCAGGGCAGGAACACAGTGCTCCCGCAGCTTTACGCCGAGGTTTTCCACCCAGACCCAGGTCCAAGCCGATGCCAAGCCGGTTCTCTGTGTGGGTTTCCCAATGCCACGGTGCCCGTCGTTCCGCAGGGATGGCGATCGCCGGGGCTCTGCCGCACTCACGAGGAGTTTTGACAGCTGGAGGTGAGGGATTAAGCCCTGAGCTGTGACCTGCGGCTGCGCTCCCGGCACACACGCCCGGGGTCATTAATCCGCCTGAGCTGAGCCCTGACCCCGCGGCCGTGGGATCAAGTGGTGGCACCGACGCTGGTGTCGGCACCGCTGCCGGACCCCGGGCTCCTCGGCTCCGGGCAGAGTGGACCACGGACAGTTTGCACCGTGGGCATGCTGTGTCACACCATGCCATGCCATGCCATGCCATGGTGGGCCACGCCGTGCCCATCCCACTCCACGCAGGGCTGGGCGCGGGCACCGCTCAGGGGCAGCAGGTCCCTGCAGATGGGGTGGGGTGTTTTTTCTTCGTCAAGGAAAATGTTTTCTTGTTCCCTGGGCTGCTGGCGGGTGAGGCTCCGGCTCCGGCTCCGGCTCCGGCGGCGCGTACAGCAGCCTTGGATGGGATCAGGTGTCATGCAGTTAAGGACGGGCTGGTGCCAAGTCTCCCCCGAGCTCCGACGCTGCTCAGCCGAGCTGCTCCCGATGTCTTTGGCTTTCGCAGCCCGGCCTGCGGAAACAACGTGCTGCTCTCCCTCTCCGTAGCTCACTTTTCGTTTTCGACTGGGTTTATTGTTATTTTTAAAGCATGTGTAGCGCAAAGCAAATCATCGACCTCCCCGCTGGAGCCGGGCCAGCCCCGTGTTGGGCTTGGAAATCCTCCCTGCTTTATTTTTTATTGTAAATGACCGGAGGATGGAGCGGCTCGATGGGACACGGCGGCGGCCAAGCCCGCCTGCTCCAGCCCACCCACACGCGCCGGCTGCTCCCAGAGCTTCCCCTTCCCTGCGTCCCCCTGCCCTGGGCGAGTCGAGGTGCTTCCCACTGCCCCCCCAGCCTGGGGCCACTTCTGCCGCAGCTTCCAGAGGTGGTGACTGTGCCCCGTGCTCCCAGAGCACAGACTGGGGACTGGGATGGGTACAGGGACAGGGATGGGATGAGGCCACACCAGTGAGCCTGGGTGTGCAGCTGAAGGGCATCAAATTCCGCACCCTGGCTCATCCCTGAGCCCCTCCATGGGGCTGGTGTGGCCCCGGGGTGGATGCGGGGCCAGAGCTGGGGTGAGGGCCAGCGAGCACACGCCGTGCCCTGCGATGACCACGCTTTGACTGCCGGGTTTAAACGAGTTCCCTGCCGTGCCGGCCTTCAGTCGCAATGGCAGATCCCCTGTGGATCACATATATTGACTTAAAAAATAATTAGCCTTGAAGGGAGCAGGCGCGGGGCCGGCCAAGCCCTTCATTAATATTTCAGTAACAGGGGCCATAAATCAGCCACGGCTCAGCCAACAGCCCCAGCTGTGTCCACAGGGAAGCACGGCCGTGGTGCTCACAGAAACATCGCCCAGTCCAAGGACACGGGAGCACTGACACGGACACTGCAGGGAGAGGGGGTCAGTGTGGGGACCAGCAGCCCCTTCCATGGGGAAAGACCAAGAGCACGCCGGGAGCATGACAGGAGCTCATCAAGCTGCCCAGCACGAGCCACGGGCAGTTCTGAAGCCATGGGGGCGGCACGGGCTGGTTGTTTTCCTGCGAGAACAAGGTGACATTTCTTGTCTCCTTTCTCATGCTTTAAGTGTGAGATTTTTTCCCTGTTCTCGGCACTTTCATGGCGTGCCAGGGGTTTTTAACACGTCTGCTTGTTGCCTGCCAGGGGAGCCGGCCCTCGCACCGCCGGTGCGGCAGCGGCGGGCCTCTGAAAGCCGTGCCAGGGGTCCCGGTGCCGGCTCAGGGCCCTGCTCCCCCCAGAGCTGAGCAATGTGGTGCTGCTGGGCCCCATCCTGGGCTCCAGCATCTCCAGGGAACAGCACAGACCTCTCGAGTGCTGCCCCTGTGTGAACCCTCCTGGCTCAGCTGCTCCTGCTGGGCTTGGCTTTGCGGCAAGGGGTGGTTGTGGTTGAAGTACCAGAGTGTGCTGAGGGGGATGGAGCTGCCTCCAAAAGATGTCAGCCTGGCTGGATAGTGCCCAGCCCAGCAGCTGTAGTGCCCAGGCTGGGCAGGGTGAGCCAGAGGAGGACAGGCAGGTGACCCCCAGCCGTGGCTGCCCCATCCACACCATGGACCAGCCGCTGTTCACAACCTGCCGGGCGAGAAGGGAGTGTGGCGCGGCTGCTCCGTGTGATTAATTATCAGTTCATAACACAGGAGATTTCAGGCATGAAAGAGCCTCTCCACAGGCACGTTGTGCACACTTTATCCATCATATGAGGCTCCAGATGTTTCCATTTTATTCTCATTAAATCACTGCCTGGAGAGTGCAGGAGTGGGAGGCCTCCTGCCCCAATGCCGGGCACCACTGGGGGGGACAGCACAGCACCAGAGACCCCCTTCCTTAAGGGATGGACACACGTGCCTGGGGGGCTCAGGCCAGGCTCCCCCCATTGTCCCACAGCCCCTTGGGAGTGTGGGAACAGGTGGAATGACCCGGCTGGACCAATGGAGAATACGCAGGAGAGTCCATGTCTGGAGCCACCGGGTGACAGAGGGCACAGGGAACTTCATTTTGTATCCAGCACACAGCGAAACTGTGGCCAGATTCCCTTGTCCTCCTTCTCCCTTCCCTCTGGCTCTGTTTTCCTTCCATCCTGTGTCTCCTCAAGGGCAGGGGAAGCAGCACCCAGTAGTGAGGGGCTGAGCCACCCCAGGGTGCTGTTCCCACGGCAGCATCCTGAAACCAGCCCGGCAGAGGGGAGGAGCAGGGGCGAATCCAGCTCAGGTGGGAGAGGAGAGAGCTGGGAAGGGAGGGAGGCAGAGACAGAGGCACAGGGGTCATACCAGGTAAGGAAAACAAGTAAATAGCTGATTCAGGGGTTTGTTCTCCTCTTTTATTTAACAGAAACTGTATTTTTACAGCTGCAATCCCTTAAAATGGGATTCTTTTTCCCTTAAACAAATCCTTGTAAAATAATGCTTCATAAAAGAAGCGTTCCTCTCCTCGACCCTGAAGACAGAAAAACAATGAGGCCGGCGAGGCCCCGGCCGTGCTGCCAGGGAGGCCGAGAGTGGCTGCCACGCGTGTCCCTGGCAGTGCCACCCGACCCACAGCCACGGCTCTGGGTGCCGTGGTGGCTCCGGCACCGCTCCGGCCCCACGGCCGAGGTGGGATGGGCAGAGCTGAGCTCCTCTCCTGGCATCCCCCACAGCCACCCACCTGCATCCTCACAGCTCCATCATGCAGCGGTGGCAGGGCCATCCCTGTCCTCTCCTGCCCTCAGCTGCTCCAAGGGCATTTTCCAGGCAGGAGGAGCAGCAGTCAAGGTTTCCTCATCCCTGGAGACTTCAACAACCTGCCAAAGCCCCTGTGGCATCAGAAACAATCTTGTGCCAGGGCTCCCTGCTCCCTTGACTTAATTTGGTTTAATTTTGTTCTAATTTGGGAGGTTTTGGGTTGTTTTTTCTCTAGTCTGCAGCTTTTTTTTTTTTTTTTTCCACTGCTGCTTCAGCAAAAGCGATTCAGGAAATTCTGATGAAATCCTGTCGCGCAGCAGCCCTGCCCCTGCTCCCCAGCAGGACAGGCCAGGAGCTTAATTCTCATTAATAACCACCACGGGTCAATTATTGCGAGAAGGAGGAAAATCAGCAAAAAAGCTCTTTGGCATCACGTGTTGTTTAAGCTTCCGAAAATAAATGTTCTTTGCAAATCAACCTGTTTGCAGCTCTGCAGCGTGGAGCCGGCAGGGAAGGTTGCTGGAGGAAGAGAGTATTTATAGAGGGGGTTTATTTTAAATAAACAAGCACTTAAGGCTGAGGCTGCAGCTCCCTCGCTGCTCCCTCATCCTCCGTGTGAGCCCCCTGCGCTGCCCGCAAAGCGCCGCAGTTGAGCCACAAACGGGAGTCTCCAGCTCCAACGTTGTGGGTTTGGTCCAGCCCCCCTTTGGGAGACTCAGCACTCACCTGGCTGTTCCCAGGGCAGGCAGAGCTTGGCAGTGGCAGCCTGAGCCTCCCACAGGAGCCACGGCCACAGGTCTCCTCAGGAGAGCCCCTGCTCACTTGAGGAGCGTGACAGCAACATTGGGTTAGGTGGGCTGTGGGTTTTTCATTTGACTTTTTTCCCTCTTATGTGCTAAAAGTATCAAGAGAGCCTGGTGTGGAAATAACCCCAGACTCACAGGTGCCAGGGCAGCCTCTGTAAGGCTCTGCTGGGCACCCACCATTGGTTACTGCTCATAAACTGTGTGTTTACTGTGCATCTCCCAGTCACGGCGTGTCAGGAAGGGCCACGTGTTCAGGGCATCTCTGGTCCACAAAAAGGCAAATTTGAGGGAGTCCTGCTCCCACTGGGATCCTTCCCAGGCTCTTGGATGGTCCCTGCAAGGCGGAGGGGACAAGGGGGGCCGTGGGTGCCCACTCTCACTGTTGCTTTGTCTGCAGGAGCTGTGGGAGCAGGAGCAGGAGCAGGAGCAGGAGCAGGATGCTGCCGGATGCCGTGGCGCTGCTGGTGACGATGGTGATGGTGGTCGGCCCTCAATCGGCCGTGGGAGGCGGCGTGGGGGGCTACGCCCAGGTCAAGTACATGCAGCCCATGGTGAAGGGACCCCTGGGACCACCATTCCGTGAAGGCAAAGGGCAGTACCTGGGTAAGGGCCGCGCTCTGCGGGGGAATGGGAGGACACGGGGGAGCTGCTGGCACAGCGGGAAGGGGCTGTGGCACCCCAGAGCCACTGGACACTTGTCACCTCCTACCCTCGGGGTTGGAGCCCTGGGAGTCACCTGGCATGGCCGAGGGTCCAAAACATCTTTGGCAAAGCACAAGGGGCCTTTTGAGTCTCCTTAACCCATTGCAGAAGGACAGGATGGACACAGGGAGAGGCTCAGAGGCCCCCCCTTTGCTGGGGCTGGGGGGCACCCGTGGGTCCCTTGGTCTGGGAGCTGGGACACACAGGGGACCCTCCAGCCTCTTGCTCCCACCCTGCTGCCCGTCCCAGCTGTGAGGCACAGGAGCCCCAGCACTCACCCCTCTGCCTCTCACTGCTGTTAAACCTGAGCTGTCCCAGCAAGGCTTTTTCCACTCCTCCACCTATTCCGTTTCCCTGTCTGTGTTTTGCACCAGCTGGGAAAGGAAAGAGTGCCAAGGCCAGAGCTGAAACCCAGTCTGGCAAGGGAAGAGCAGGAGAGAGACATTTCCTCCCTCAGAGAGCAGCAACCAGAAACTCCTCAGATGTTAAATCGTTCCCCATGGAGTGACATGTGCACTCAGAGGGGCCGAGGCACCAGGGCCATCGCTCCACAGAGCCAGGGCTGCAGGGCCCCCAGCCTTCTGTCACCCCTGCCCACAGCTGCCCTTGGGACCTGTGCCCATCCCAGGTTGCTGGCAGTGCCACAGGATGGGGCAGCGCTGGGTTTGGGTGCCCAGAGCTGCCAGGTTGGTGCCTGGCCCTCGGGAAGAGGTGCCAGAGCCTCCCTGTGGGTTCTCACAGACCCTGACGCTCCCAGGAGCTGAAGTCCTGGCTCTGGGAAGAGAAACTGGAGAAGGCTGGGCTGCCGGTGGCTGATTTACTGCGGGGCTGAATGGCTTATCAGGAGTTCAGCTCAGCACATGTGTCAGAAAACACACAGCAAAATCTGGAGCCGAAGCGTGCTCTGAGCCCCCCCTCCCTGCCCCCTTCCCAGCTGTTGTAAAGCTGCTCCCTGAATCCCAGCCAGAGCCAAAACCTTCCAGCGTAGCACAGGAACACTTCAGCTGCTGGTGGGACTGGATTCAAATCTCTCCCTGCTGTTTTCCCTTCTCTTTTCTCCTTCTTCCTATGCACGGGAGCGGCTTGTGCTGCCTCAGAGCAGCACCACCTATTGTGGGGAGAGCAGCAAGTGCCAGGCTGGGGCAAGGTGTGGTTTGGGCAAGCTCTGCCAGCCTAGAGCAGGCACACAGGGGACACTGAGTAGGGCAGAGCACAGCAGTCCCATGGACATTACTCTCCTGAACCCCTGGGAAAGAGAGGACAGGTGGGGGACACAGGGACGCAGCAGGGACAGCTGCAGCCTGAGCCACCAACTGCGGGGCTGCATGGAGGCAGCTGGGGAAGCTGGTGCCTCCTGGATCCCACCGAGCTCCCATCTCTGCTTAACCTCTAATTTGGCAAGGAAAATCCCTGCTGGCCTTCTGCCCTGCTCGGGGAGCTCAGCTGACTCGCCGCGATGGCGCGGGGCTGTTCCGTGCCCCCGCGGGTTACCCTGACCCGGCGGGGAGCTGGGGGGGCCCCCCGGCTGCCCCAGCCCTGGGATCTCCGGCTGGGGAGCCACGGGGGGGGCCCTCCTGCCTCCAGGTGCCACCTAGTGAGGGGCAGGTTCCCTCAGGGTGCCAGACACCTTTTCTGACCCAAAAGCTGCTGCCCCAGGAGCACGGAGGCAGCTCAGGGTGGGAGATGCTGCTAAGTGCTAAAATGCTCAGAACGTTGAAGCAGAGATCTGCACATTGGGGGTTATTTTCGGCAAAACTGAAACCACGTCCGTGGTTCTGCTGCCAGGTAAACCTACTGCTGGGTGCTGTGCTGGGACACCCACTGCCAGGGCAGAGCTTGAGAGGTGCTAAAACACTGATCCCATGCAATGTCCCTGTGAGACTGTGAAACTCTCTCACGAGACAGGGCTTGGCAGCAGCTCTGGAACGAGCTCAGCCAGGCTCCGCCACGGAGCAGCCAACCTCTCCTTCCTGCAGTGTCATCCGGCTGCGCTGGCCAGGCCCGCTGCTGGCTGCTCCTGGCTGGGAACCACTTCCCATCCCGCTGGATTATTCCTCTGATGGCCGGTCTGCACTGCTGGGTCCCTTTTCCAGGCATGAGAGGTCCTTACCGGGATGAGCACAGCTCTGGAGGGGCTGAGCACCCGCCTGGTCCGTGCTCCTCAGGAGGTGGGACACTCCGTGGTGCCCAGGTGGGGGCTCACAGGGGCCATTCCTGCCCCGTCCCCTTCCCGCTGCCCCAGCTGGCTCCACGCTAACATTCATGGCAGCTCGAGGGGAGCACAGAACCCCAGGCTGCTGCTGTGAAGCGCAGAGCTCCGAGACATGTGTCTGTGGTAAGACATGGGCTTTTGAAATCGGACACCAGCGGGGCCGCAGTGTCCCAGTTTCTCTCTGCTAACGGCCCCGGTTTGGTTTTCCCGTCTGCTTTTTTGGCCGCCTGCGAGCTGGCAGCTCCTGCCTGGCGTTTCTCTCCGCTGCCTTGTGTGAGAGAGTGTGTGTGTGCTTTTTCCTTCCTTCATGGGCTCAGCTGTAGATCCTTGTTCTGATTCCATGCAAAATGACCTAGAAAACTAATTCTTTTCAAACCAGTGCAAGAAGAAAAAAAATAAAGTAGGGGGAGAAAGCACATTGAAATCATCTTCTGGAGAAAATTTTTTCCAGGATTCAACCCCCAGAAATTGTGCAGCACTGCACAGCTTCCTCGCTCTCTTTCCCACATGGTTTTCCGGGGTGAGGAGCAGGAGTTTGCAGAAATCCAGTGGCAATGTCATGACAGACAAGTATTTCCTTCATCAAGGGAGCCAAGTGACCGTGGCTACAGCTGGGGATGTGGGCCAGGCTTTGATTTATAGATAAGCTCTGAAAATGTTTCCATTACCCAAAGGAAAACACGCCAGCACCAGGCTGGGAAGGGCCAGAGCTAATTGCTGTGCTTGGGGCAGCAAAGCCACCTCCGATGCTCCGGGAGCGGTGCCTGCTGCTGCCACAGTTATTCTTTTCACGTGTCTCAAATCTCCCCTAAGCTTTTCCCATCGAGTGAGGAAATCTCCATGCTGGCAGATCCCAGCTCTATGGGTGTCCCTGCTCCCAAGGCCATGCTTGGCTCACTGAGGGGGCCGGGCTGGCAGACCCTGGGGACCCCACTGCCTCCTCCACAACACCATGCCCAGGCACATCGTCTCATGTCCTGCTCCCATCCCAGTCAGGATCCATTCCCATCCCAGATGGAATCAGTACAGATCTCTTCCCAACTGGAATGATCCACCTTAGGCAGATTTGGTCACAATTCACCCAAGATGTCAAGGTCCTTTCCTCTGCCTTCCGCGTTTCTCGTCATCGTCCTGTGTAGGTGCGAATGTCAAGTGTTTCCTTCATTTCAAACTTCCCAAAAAAAGAGTTTGTCTGATTTATTCTTTTTCACCCATTCCCAGTGTCACGTGGGAGGTGACACCCTGCCTGGGCCGGCCTCAAGGAGTTATTTATGCTCACGTCTGCGCTTTCCATGCCGAGCTGCGGTGGGCATGTCATCTGCCTCTCCTCGCCTTTGGAGACTCTCAGCCCATTAGTTTCTTTCTTATATCCGTTTGCAAAAGACCTCAATAAATTCTTGAAATGTCAAGTGGTTGCGGCCTATTCCCAGCTGGGCTGACTCATTTGGACGGAGCTGAGGCTGCGTTTCCCTCCCAGCTCTTGGCTTCTCCTCCATCTCCAGCGCTTTTTTCCTTTTTGGTTTTTCTCTGCCTTGCTGGACTAGGGAGCTGTGCCAGCGAGCACTGTGGGCATGGCCTAACCCACACACCCATTGCCTCCTCAGGCTTTCGAGTACATGTCCAAGAGTTTTCTTTTTAATCCAAAAGGATTAAAGGTCTCCTGAGGCCCTGGACTCGCAGGATGGGGTGAAGGGATTATCCTCGGTCTTGGCTTGCTCTGTCGCCATCCTCTCAGCTGAGCCCAGGCAGGGGCGACTGAATCCCACGGTGCTTTTGAGGCGGCTGGGAAGTGAGGCAGCAGGAGATTTGAATCCAGCTCCTAAAAACACCCTGCAGTAACTCATCACCAAACAACGCTGCCAGAGCCCAAGGCAAGCGCTGGTTGTGCTGACACCTTCCATGGTGTCACCTGACATCCGTGGAGGGATGTAAGGCTGGGATTAGCACTCTGGGCTCTGGCCTGGGTCTTGCCTTAGGACAGGCCTGCTGATGTGAGCCACTATGGCCACGTTTAAATGAAGGGTCCTCCTGTAAGCCCAGCCCAGGCAGTGCAGAGGCCCCAGTTCCGACATCCCAAGGACATCCCACAGCGGCACAGTCCTTGCCCACTGCTGGCCCCAGTGACGCTCCGTGTCTCCTCTCTCCACAGACGTGCCACCGATGCTGCCCATGGACCTCAAAGGGGAGCCAGGACCACCAGGGAAGCCTGGCCCACGTGGACCCCCTGGGCCCCCTGGCTACCCAGGAAAACCAGGCACAGGGAAGCCAGGAATGCACGGCCAGCCTGGCCCCGCTGGGCCTCCTGGCTTCTCGGGCATTGGGAAACCTGGCATCCCAGGACTCCCTGGAAAGGCGGGTATGAAAGGGATGCCTGGAGCCAAGGGTGAGCCTGGCATGCGAGGGGAGCAAGGGCCAAGAGGACTTCCCGGCCCCCCTGGGCTGCCCGGGCCAGCTGGACTCTCTGTCAATGGGAAGCCGGGTCCCCAGGGTGGCCCCGGCCTGCCTGGCTTTCGGGGTGAGCCTGGCCCGAAAGGAGAGCCGGGTCCCCGCGGAGAGCGAGGGATGAAGGGTGAAAATGGTGTGGGGAAGCCGGGGTTACCAGGGCCCCGGGGCAATGGGGGCCCTCCTGGCCCTGCAGGGCCCCCCGGGCCTGTTGGTGTTGGGAAGCCCGGCCTTGACGGGCTGCCAGGAGCGCCAGGGGGCAAGGGCGACATGGGCCCCCCGGGTGGGCCTGGTGTCACCGGGGAGCCTGGCCCTGTGGGGCCGCGGGGCCCCCCTGGGATCGACGGGATCGGGGTCCCGGGCGCTGCGGGGGTGCCAGGGAGTACGGCCCCATGGGACCAAAGGGAGAGGGCCCGGGATCCGCGGCCTCCCAGGTTCTGCCCAGGCCCAACGCGGTTATGGAAGCCGGCGTTTTGCCCGGCCTGAAAGGCGAGACCGTGGGCAGCCGGGCGGCCCACAGGGAGCCATCGGCGACAAGGGGGAACCCGGGCGTTGATGGGGAGCCGGGTGCAGCCGGCCCGGCTGGCTCATCGGCCCGCGGCGCCCCACCGGGCTCCCATGGCGGCGCTGCGGGCAAGCCACGGGCTGCCCGGCATCCAAGGGGGACGTGGCGGCCAAGTGGGCCCCAGGAATGCCGGGGGATGCGCAGTGACCAGGCCCCAGTGGCTTTGCTGCGCGAAGCAGGGTGTCCGGAGAAAAGGGCCTGCCCGCCGCGTTCAGTGGGACCCCCTGGCCCGACAGGCCCCAAAGGAGAACCAGGGTTCATCGGCCTCCCAGGGGTGCCCGGATTAACGGGTGGCCCTGGGCCCAAAGGGGACGGCGGGATCCCAGGACAGCCAGGGCTGAGGGGCCCCTCAGGCATTCCAGGATTGCAAGGACCCGCGGGTCCCATGGGGCCGCAAGGAGTTACCAGGGCTCGAAAAGGGGAGCCCGGGGCTCCCTGGCCGGTCCTGCGCGAGGGATCAAGGACCGGCGAGCCCGAAATGGCCGGACCCATATGGTGCCCCCCGAATGCCCGGGAAACGCCGCGGGCCCTGAACGGGCCACCAGGCCCCACCGGGGCCGCCCGGGCCGCCTGGGAGCACGGGTGCTGGACGTAGGACGGGCCATCGCGGGGGCTGCACCTGGCCGGACGGCGGCCGTGGAGGGCGCCGTGCTGGGCAACGGGAAGCCGGGCAAGCCGCAGTACGGCCGGGGGGAACTCGCCGCCCGCATCGCGCCCGCCTTCACCGCCATCCTCACCTCCCCCTTCCCCGCCTCCGGCATGCCCGTCAAGTTTGACCGGACCTTGTACAACGGGCACAACGGCTACAACCCGGTCACCGGGATCTTCACCTGCCCCGTATCCGGAATCTACTACTTCGCCTACCACGTGCACGTCAAAGGGACCAACGTCTGGGTGGCCCTGTACAAGAACAACGTGCCGGCTACCTACACCTACGACGAGTACAAAAAGGGGTACCTGGACCAGGCCTCGGGCAGTGCCGTGCTTGAACTCAAGGAGAACGACCAGGTGTGGGTACAAATGCCCTCGGACCAGGCCAACGGGCTGTACTCCACGGAATACATCCACTCCTCCTTCTCTGGGTTCCTGCTCTGCCCCACATAACGGCTGTTGGGCACGTTTCCTTTTCACCCACTTTAGCCATAAACTTTTTTTTTTTTTTTGATAAAAAAGTGTTTTAAAATTAATACAAAAAAGAAAAGTCACTGGGAAGAACGCGCAAGCCGCTGCTGTGGGACCTTGCTTCACGCTGTTTGATCCAAGAGTCACGAGGGTAATCGGGAAGGAGACATCTACCCATCTATCTTTCTTTTTTTTTGGGAAGGGAGAAGGGAGGGAGGGGAGCAACTTCCTCAGCAAAGCATATTTGGAATAAATTTTACCCCAGTGGCTGGACATCAAACACAGAAACACGCTTGGGATGGCAAGGATCTGGCTCTGTGATCCAGAGAGGGGCGGCTGGAAGACCGGACCCTCCTGGTCTGTATCAAGTGCCCTCGTTTCCCATTTGGAATGCTGGATAAATAAATCCAGCTGTGTCATGGCTGGTGTGTTTGGTAACCTACGCAGGGTCCCAGCACTTACACAAACCCGTACAGCGGCAGGGATCCATGCTGGATTGAGAAATTTCCTTCCCAACCATCAGATGCCCGAGTTCCAGGCTTGCTGACGCCTGTTTTTCCAGACTCTGCTTTGGGGCAGTCTCTCCGATTCACTCCAGATTCAGTGTGGTTGGATTTATAATCCTAAAAAGTGGAACATTTTGCATAAGCACCTTCTAAGAAGTAAATATTATTTTGAACACCCCCCCCAGCACCTTTAGGAATTAAAACATCCAGGCACTGGTACCTGGGAGGATGGCACGACCTGTTCCAAAGGAGGCGAGGGAACCTGGAACCCCTGGGATGAACAACCATCCGCTCTCTCCATTCACCTGCTGGGAAGTCCAAGGGCTGGTCCTGTCCCGTCTGTCTCTGCAGCCCAAAGACTTGCTTGGCCTCGGGAGCATCTCTGCCCACACAAGGATGGCACTGTGAGCCCGGCTCACGGTACTGCCAGCTGTTGTGCCACAAGGAAGTGCCACTGATGGACAACTTGCTTTTCCTGTTTATTTCGGGATGTGGGAACTTTTGCATTGGTGTCCCCCCTTGCTCTGGGGATCTTGGCATTAAGAAAAAACAGTATGGTTCTAACTGCCCATGCAGTGATTTCACCACGGTGCTATGATCCACTTCACAGTGTTACAAGTGTAGTGCAATAGGTACCTGTGACAGGGCACCAAACACGGGCCTGTGACAGGGCACCAACCCCGGTGCCACTCGGAGACTTAGGTTAAAAAAATCAGCATCTCTCTGCTGTTACCACTTGGTCTCCCCAGTGCTGAAGCATTACTGACCTGAGTATGAGCTGCAGGGTTCTGGGCCCACCTGGCTGCTCTGTCCCTTGGCACAGGCAACAAGGGAATCCGTGGCTCTGCAGGTTTCTCACAGTAGAACAGTCACTGCCACTCACAGGACAGGGATTCTGCTCATCCCAGGCCAGGAACACACTGCTGAAGTCAATCCATGTGCATCCCACTGCATGTCCCTCTGCAAAGGCACATCCTTGAGAAACACCAACAATGTGGTCACCAGCTGAGCACCTCTGACCTTTGCATTTTCCTACAGCCCGTTTGATGGCCAAAGAAACACAGCAAGGCTGGGACTGAACTTGTCCTCCAGATGGACTCTACAAGATATTTAAACAACTTTCCTTTTCCTACTTCTGGTTTGTTTGTTTGTTTTTCTCCTCAAGCCTGTCCTGTGTTTCTGCCTCTTGCCATCCAGGGCTTCCTTTTAAAAACACACCTATTCCTGAAATTAAAAAAACACAAAAAGGAAATTGGCAGTTGGAAGGGCAGTGCTCCAGCCACTGCCTGTTGGGGCTGTGTCCCCTCCTGGGATTTTCTCTCCTTAAAGCTGCAAGTTTCATGCAAAGATGAAACTTCTCAAGCTGAAAGGTGTCAGATCCCGCTGGACATTTTTAACTCCTGAGGGCGGGGCGGGGTCAGGACCATTTGGGTTGTGACTGTAACAGGTTATTTCCCAGCAGGAACAGGACCCATACACAGAGAGTCCCTAAAATTAAAAGGAGAAGCTCTGATGTTTTTTCCAAGCCCAGGTTTGGGAGCGGAGGGTGCTGGCAGGGGATTTATCTCCTTCCCTGTGGAGAACAGGGAGGGACTCGGCTGGTCTGGCCCCACACAACCTGTGCAGAGCCAGGAGCTGCCACACCTGGTGGGAGCCTCACCCTGCTCCTCAAAGCGACTTATTTATACTGTGCCTACCCTACATCCCACCTCTTTTTGTTCTGTTCTGTTTCACTCCAAACTTCTTGTTCGAGCTGGCAAAAAGCAACGACCAAACTCCTCACTGTAACCACCCCCCAGATTAACTCCTTCGTGCTGTAGATATTGTTTTGCAACTCCACTTTCCCTTCATGTGCAGAGCAAACCCATAATCACTCCTTGCAGCTATTTAACCTCTTACATTTACACACTAGTGGAAAGCAAAGATATTACACGCACATAGTTAGGCTAAAAAAAAACGATGCACAGGATGAGGGAGGCTGTTCACCCTCCAGAAGGATTTTTTTTCTGGAATACTGAGTACATATTCGCCAGCAGAAAGGATTATTTTCTGTCGTGTGTGTGAGCGCGTGGGATTTTGGTTTCAATCACAAGGATAAAAAAGGTTGGGTTGGATGAAGTGTCTATTTTTAATGCTGAAAACTGCATTACAATGTGCATTTTTATATACAAATTCTTACTATTTTTTTTAAATTTGCCTCTAGTATCTTCATTTCTAACCTAGTATATAGAGGTTTTTAGTTTTGTAAATACTTATTACATGCACTGTCCTAGTAAAAGTTGGTTTAAAATGCACTCTTTGTGACCCAAAACTGGCCTGCTCTTCACAACTAAAACTGCAGTACTTGATTGTATTGACAAAACATCAATAAAACTTATTGTATAAAGGTGGGCTCAGCTGTGCTCTGTCCTGGGACTTGCTCAGCCTCACACAGTTCTCTTATACTCTCCTTCCTCCTCAAATCTCCTCACTCACACCCAGCAGATTCCCTTGTTGATATCCTTATGCAAGAGGTTATTTCTTCTGATTAAGGAAAAGATTCCTGTCTCCAGAAGTTCAGTTTTAAAAAAGGATGAAACCCAGACCCTTCCAGCCAGGCAGTTATTAATTTGAGGAATTTAGGGTGAAGCGTTGGGGATTCCCTTTCCCTTCTATGTGTTTTTTTTTCCCCATGATTTTTTATTCTACAGCCAACTTCCATCCCAAGTGATTCAGAAACAGCCAGGACTGGTGAATCACCTGTAGCAAAGCACCTTCTGAGGCTCAGAGTACAAAGAATAAAGAGAAGGAAATGTGTTTTCCCACCTGGCAAAGGAGACGTTCCTTGTAACAGGTGAAGCACTCCCAGGGAAGCCAGGCTGCCATGCAGGCACCTTCAAAAGTCATTCCAAGGAACAAGCCATCCTTGTGCTGCCAGTCACAGGGTCCCAGCACATCCCCTGGTCTCTGCACCATCACCACACGCTGGATTTCCTGAGAAGGAAAGCTCCTCTCCAGTGACCCTCCCTGCAATGCCCAGTGTCAACTCACCCTGGTACCAAGAGCCACTCCTGGTACTCCTGGCATTAGGGAAGCACAACTTCATGACTTGAATCAAAACACAGGAGCAGTGGCTAATTAACAAAGATAACTGAGGGATTTTATTCCTTTCCAAGGAAGTCAGAGCTAAAGGTTTTAGTACATGTTTAAATTTTGGCCTAAAACGAGCTCTAGTCTTTAAACAGGAGCTCTTTGCTCTCCGTGAGTTCCAAACGTTTAAAATTATAAAGCTGCTTTAAAAGAAAAATATCTTCTTTTAAATAATTCCATGAATCTGGTCGCCCCTCTGGCAGAATAATGTGGAAAACCTGACATTTTACAGCTCAGATCTGCAGCACAATACAGAAATATACAACAGACCAAAATTCCACATGTTCCCAGGACAAGAACCCATTTATACAAGGAAAACCCATTAAAGCATCACACAAAAGACTGGCACTTGAAGGAAGCAGACTACAGGGAACACTGGAAGGACCTGTGGCAGCCAGATTCCCACATGTGCATGCAGCCTGCCACAGCCCCCACGTGCCAACACCACCGGGGAGCACAACGGGCACTTCCCGGTGTCACAAGAAATACTGGAGAAATAACAGTCACACAGTCACATTCAAATTTATAAACGCTTCCATATGATGACTTTTTGTTTTCAATTATTAAAAAAAGCTTCCAACCCCTTTCTAGACGTGCCATTCCCAAGCTGTTTCTCCCTTTCTCACCAGCTCCAGCAGGAAAAGGTTCTGAATGTGAAATTCTGGAATACAGCTGTGCTAGAATGTTCCTGGCCACCAGCACCAGCTGCTTCTAAACATTGATAAATTCTCCCCCAATTAACCCACCTTCCCCTCTAATTTTGGGTCTTATCCAATACAGAGGACTAGAACTGTGAGAAGTAACTCCTGCATCCTGCTCAAGTCACTTTTCCCACTGAGAGAACTGGGAATTCCATCCCTGTAACACCAGGTTTCACAACTATCTCCACCCCATATTTGGTCTCCCTGGCAGCTGGACTCCTGTGATCCTCGTGGGTCCCTTCCAACTCAGAGAACTGTGATACTGTGATTTAAACAGGAATCTCACGTGGTGCTCTGGGGACACATGATACACAGGATGTTAAAAACGTGGGATGCACGAATGAGGAGCACAGGAGCAGCCAGAGCAGCTGCAGCAGTGTGACAGCTGTGCAAGGGAACACGAAATGCAGCAGGTGATGGTGCCTGTTGGATCACAGGGCAAAGGACACAGAGCAGCAGCAATCAGGGACACCCTCTCCCAGCAGGGATTGCCTGCAGGCAACAAAGGTCTCTCACAACGCCACCAGTGATGCACAGAAATCCCTTCTTTCTCTGGCACTTCTCATTCTGCCTTTGGGGGAACAAATCTCCCTGGGAGGTCTGTGCTCTGGCATCCTCACTCAGCACAGGGGACAACCCAGGCCACCAGGCCTCTGGTGACTCCTGTGACATCCCTTAGCTGGCCAGCTGAGAGTGACCTGCTGCTGTGCGAGGGGTGTGGAGCCTCCCAAAGCCACTGGATGGGCCACTGACCACCACAACACAGGCCACAGACACAGGAGCAGAGGAAAACAGGGAAAAAGTCCGCAGATTTAGACCCCCCCCAGTAACTGCAATGACAAATGGCACAAAGGTGGACAAAGCAAGCAGCAGAAATCCCATGGAAAACAAGACACTCCTGTACACTCAGAAGAGCTGCACCCACTGTCCAAGGTGCCACGTGCAGCCACTTCCCAGCTGATCCATGACTGCAGGGGATGTCCCCCCCCTTCCAAGGCAGCTCATGCTCCCAGCTGACAGCAGCAGGCACCTTTCCCAGGTGAGGCTTGCTGGTGTCACCGACGGCACGGATCCACCGCTGGATCTGACCACAAAAGCAGAGGTGACCATCTCTTCGCCTTCAGGAAACCCCTGGAGCTCCCCTGGAGCTCAGAGCCGCTGGCAGTAGAGTTCATACAAGCTCTTGGCCATCCTCTGGGTCTCCTGGAAAGCCTCACAGCTCTGCTCCCAGCTCGGGGGCACCTGCTCCTCGCCGTAGTAAGCGCCGGCGATGGCCCCCGCCATGGTGGCGATGGTGTCCGTGTCCCCCCCCAGGGAGATGCAGTAGATGATGGTTCTCTGCAGGGCATTGTAGTGCTCGGGAATGTCGGGATCAGTGTCCATGCAGCGCAGGAAGGAGTAAATGGCAGTGGGGACGGAGCGCAGAGCAGCGATGCCATTGCCTGGAACACACCCGGCCATTACCCTCAGGGCTCCCTTCCCTCTTCCAACTGCAGCTTCCTGCTGCCACTGACCTTCCATACCAGTATCATGGATTTTATCAGGAAAAGGTGCAAAGGTTTGTGCCTCAGAAATCCCCCCTGTTCCCCAGTATCACTCATATTCCAAAGAGCAACTCCCAGTTACGCCAGTATAGTCTGGCCATACACATCTACCTGTTCCCATTCAACATGACAACCCACTGGCCACTAAGAGATCTTTGAATATTAAGATGTATTATGCAAGATAAGTTTTCCTTAGCAAGACACAACACAGAGCGGGAATCACTGGGTAGAGACTTGCAATTCCTGACAGGTCAGCACAGGCAGCTTTTCCAGCACATTCTGTGCCCAACAGGCAGCACAAAGAGAACTCTAGGGGAAGACACACCTACCAGGCTTGCTGAGGTAGTCTTGCTTCCAGCTCCTCCCTAATGCTAATAGTAAGAAAGGTACTCACCTAACTCAAACAACACATCTGCTTTGGGAACGCTGCTGAACTCCAAAAACTCCTTGATTTTCTTTAGACGCCTGGAAAACGGTAAATCCTCAAATCCCAGCCTGCAAGCAGAGAGGGAAGGGGGGGAGAACGTGAAGAGCCAGAACAAACCACCACAGCAGAGCTGGTGCTTCCCCCACAGCTACTCACGCCCGGGCGTCGCTGAGGGACTTGTCATCCGCCTCCACGTGCTCCATGTGGCTGATGAGCTGCTCCAGGAAGGTTTCCCTGCTGAGCCCTCCCTGCAGCGCCAGGTGCACGGCCAGGGCCTGCAGGATGGCCCCGTTGTAGCCCAGGGAGTTGGCGTGGGTCAGCTCCGCGCTCAGCTTGGCGAACTGCCAAGGAAATGCCAGTGTCAGCACAGCTTCCCGGGGGCTGCCCCGGCACCAGGGACACCCCGGGGAGCCCAGAACGTTCCAGCACCTTCTTGACATCCTGGGTGTCGGCGTAGACGAGGGGGATGCCGGCCACCCTCATGGCCCCGCCGTTCCCGTAGGAGCCCTTCCCGTTGAACTGGGCCCTCGCGGGCTCGAACACGTCGCTGCACTTGGGGCTCAGCAGCTTCTTGAACACGTTGACCACGGCCATCCCATAACCCCTGTTGGGCTCCTTCTTGTACTCCTCAGCAAACCTGGTGTGGGCAGGGCAAACACACGGGGGGTTTGGTCTGTTACTGGTGTTTGCGACTGGGTGAAGCCTCTTGCTAAACTGAATTAATAACACACGTGTGAGTCAGTGACAGTCAGGGGTCAGGGGTTCAGTTCTGCAAGGAAACAATTCCTGAAAAAGTGTGAAAGGAGGAAAGGGTGTATAAACACCACCTTCCACAACTCACTTGTTTCCCTCTCAGCTTTGCCTCGAAATAGAAGCAAACTGGAAACATTTCCGTGGGTCACAACCACAAGGAAAGTCTTTTGTTCAAGTTCAATGGAAGAGTTTTCTAAACAAAGAAACGCTCTCCCTTAAGTGGAACCAAATGCTCCCAGGGCTGGGGATTCCAGAGGGAAATGGATCATAAACAAAGCCAAGCTGAGCTCATTCCTATTCCCTCACTAAATTGAGGGCAGCACAAACATAAATAGCAACAAATAAACATGAAATTAAGTGTTTCTGAACTTTCCAGGCATTCTGCTCCCGAAAGATGAACACACAGAGGGCTGACATGTCCAGGTAGACTCTGACCCCACACTGCTGCCAATGCTGCTGCAGGTCCAGGGCAGGGCCAAGCACACACCAAATTACAGGATTAGCCACCACTGTCCTGACTTTTTTCCCCTCCACAAATTACCAGTGACTCCACAGACAGCCACAGTGATGGTTTCACCTTCAGGAGGCTCCGTCCTCACCTCTTGGCCATGTCAACCTCGTCGAACTCCCCCCTGGCCAGCAGGGACTGCACCACCGACCTGCTCATGGCTGTGTCGTCCGTGTAGGGCAGCGACTCTGTGACAGGAGGGACAGGGTGACACCCCCAGCCAGGGACAAACTGCTCCTGCCCTCTGCCAGCACCTCCCCGGTCCCCAAGGC